CTGAACTAGAACTGAACTAGAACTGAACTAGAACTGAACTAGAACTGAACTAGAACTGAACTAGAACTGAACTAGAACTGAACTAGAACTGAACTAGAACTGAACTAGAACTGAACTAACTGAACTAGAACTGAACTAGAACTGAACTAGAACTGAACTAGAACTGAACTAGAACTGAACTAGAACTGAACTAGAACTGAACTAGAACTGAACTAGAACTGAACTAGAACTGAACTAGAACTGAACTAGAACTGAACTAGAACTGAACTAGAACTGAACTAGAACTGAACTAGAACTGAACTAGAACTGAACTAGAACTGAACTAGAACTGAACTAGAACTGAACTAGAACTGAACTAGAACTGAACTAGAACTGAACTAGAACTGAACTAGAACTGAACTAGAACTGAACTAGAACTGAACTAGAACTGAACTAGAACTGAACTAGAACTGAACTAGAACTGAACTAGAACTGAACTAGAACTGAACTAGAACTGAACTAGAACTGAACTAGAACTGAACTAGAACTGAACTAGAACTGAACTAGAACTGAACTAGAACTGAACTAGAACTGAACTAGAACTGAACTAGAACTGAACTAGAACTGAACTAGAACTGAACTAGAACTGAACTAGAACTGACTAGAACTGAACTAGAACTGAACTTGAACTAGAACTAGAACTAGAACTGAACTAGAACTGAACTAGAACTGAACTAGAACTGAACTAGAACTGAACTAGAACTGAACTAGAACTGAACTAGAACTGAACTAGAACTGAACTAGAACTGAACTAGAACTGAACTAGAACTGAACTAGAACTGAACTAGAACTGAACTAGAACTGAACTAGAACTGAACTAGAACTGAACTAGAACTGAACTAGAACTGAACTAGAACTGAACTAGAACTGAACTAGAACTGAACTAGAACTGAACTAGAACTGAACTAGAACTGAACTAGAACTGAACTAGAACTGAACTAGAACTGAACTAGAACTGAACTAGAACTGAACTAGAACTGAACTAGAACTGAACTAGAACTGAACTAGAACTGAACTAGAACTGAACTAGAACTGAACTAGAACTGAACTAGAACTGAACTAGAACTGAACTAGAACTGAACTAGAACTGAACTAGAACTGAACTAGAACTGAACTAGAACTGAACTAGAACTGAACTAGAACTGAACTAGAACTGAACTAGAACTGAACTAGAACTGAACTAGAACTGAACTAGAACTAGAACTGAACTAGAACTGAACTAGAACTGAAATAGAACTGAAATAGAACTGAACTAGAACTGAACTAGAACTGAACTGGAACTGAACTAGAACTGAACTAGAACTGAACTAGAACTGAACTAGAACTGAACTAGAACTGAACTAGAACTGAACTAGAACTGAACTAGAACTGAACTAGAACTGAACTAGAACTGAAGTAGAAATGAACTAGAACTAAACTAGCACTGAAAATTTTACAACCCATTAAAATCTTGCCTTATATGGGTTAAAAAAATTCTACAAATTTGACCTACATATTGCATAACACTTCATAAACTTGAACCCCAATTTCAAGTTCAAAAAACAAGCATGAGAAGTATGAGGCCGCAGTAAAATGCTTTTAAAGCAAAAATTTTCCCACAGCCAAAACAATAAACGATAATTAAAGACAAAACAATTTTAACAAGAAATTCTTGAAAAATCAGCAAATAAATCTTGAAATTAAAAATGCATTTAAATACACAAAACTTAAGAGAAATTCTAAACAATTAGACAGTAAAGAAATTTAATTAACATGGGTAAGATCAAAAATCTTAAACAATAATTTACGAATTATTAAATATTTTGCAAATTTCCAGATTTCAAAACCCTTTTCTTTTACACCTTCATAATTTCAAGCATAATGCTAAGTTGTTGCATTGACACGGCCATTACGAAAATTGCCTATAAGAAACCTATACATTTGAAAGAAAAATCTTTTGGCAAGGATAAAAAGGATATTTTATTAGAAATACAAACCACGGATAGTAGTATATCATTAATGTCAAAAGAAGTAGAAGATTTCATTGCCACAACTCCTTACAGTAAAGATACTTCGGCGAAAGATTCAAGTGAGACAACATCCAAAGAAGAAACCAGCATTACCACCACCGATAATGTTAAAAGCACTCTCAATTCGCCACCTGAAGATGATTTCTCCTGTACTTGTGGTATTTTCTTAAGTTCGCAATTTGTTAAAGGTTCAAGTGAACCACCCAAAGGAGAACCTGTGATATCAACCACCATAGAACGTTCGTTTGCCTGCAATGCCATTGGTCAGAAACAGTGTCAAACTAAATGTTTGGAACAGGTTTGTGATGGAAGAAATAATTTTGTAAGATGTTAATTTGAAAAATTTTTCTTCTTCAGATTGTTCAACATTTACCTAATTCGGCTAATATTTTGTGCGCCTCTTTGGATCGTGATATACGCAAGGAACGAGCTTATTTGTTTGTACGCAATTGCAGTAATAAATGGTATAATACAAATTTGGCAGCCGGTAGAGAATATTGCTGTAAAAATGGTTTACCCTATAGTTGTTCTAAGAAATAAGTGGCTTTTGGTTTTTTTTTAATTTTAGAGCTTAATGTTGTTGTAAAGTGTAGTTTTAAGGATATGAAATAAAAAGTATTAATATTGTATGAATATCGATTGGCTAGTTTTGATTTTATCGGTTGTAGTTCTGTTCTAGTTCAGTTCTGGCTCAGTTCTAGTTCAATTATAGTTCAGTTCTACTCCATTTCTGGTTCTGTTCTAGTTTGGTTCCAGTTCAGTTCTAGTTCAGTTCTAGTGTAGTTCTAGTTCAGTTTTAGTTCAGTTCTAGTTCAGTTCTAGTTTTAGTTCTGTTCTAGTTCAGTTCTAGTTCAGTTCTAGTTCAGTTCTAGTTCAGTTCTAGTTCAGTTCTAGTTCAGTTCTAGTTCATTTCTAGTTCAGTTCTAGTTCAGTTCTAGTTCAGTTCTAGTTCAGTTCTAGTTCAGTTCTAATTCAGTTCTAATCCAGTTCTAGTTCAGTTCTAGTTCAGTTCGAGTTTCAGTTCTAGTTCAGTTCTAGTTCAGTTCTAGTTCAGTTCTAGTTCAGTTCTAGTTCAGTTCTAGTTCAGTTCTAGTTCAGTTCTAGTTCAGTTCTAGTTCAGTTCTAGTTCAGTTCAAGTTCAGTTCTAGTTCAGTTCTAGTTCAGTTCTAGATCAGTTCTAGATCAGTTCTAGTTCAGCTCTAGTTCAGTTCTAGTTCAGTTCTACTTCAGTTCTACTTCAGTTCTAGTTCAGTTCTAGTTCAGTTCTAATTCAGTTCCAGTTCAGTTCTAGTTCAGTTCTAGTTCAGTTCAGTTCTAGTTCAGTTCAGTTATAATTCAGTTCAGGTATAATTCAGTTCTAGTTCAGTTCAGTTCAGTTCTAGTTCAGTTCTAGTTCAGTTCTGGTTCAGTTCTAGTTCAGTTCTAGTTCAGTTCTAGTTCAGTTCTAGTTCAGTTCTAATTCAGTTCTAATCCAGTTCTAGTTCAGTTCTAGTTCAGTTCGAGTTTCAGTTCTAGTTCAGTTCTAGTTCAGTTCTAGTTCAGTTCTAGTTCAGTTCTAGTTCAGTTCAAGTTCAGTTCTAGTTCAGTTCTAGTTCAGTTCTAGTTCAGTTCTAGTTCAGTTCTAGTTCAGTTCTAGTGCAGTTCTAGTTCAGTTCTAGTTCAGTTCTAGTTCAGTTCTAGTTCAGTTCTAGTTCAGTTCTAGTTCAGTTCTAGTTCAGTTCTAGTTCAGTTCTAGTTCAGTTCCAGTTCAGTTCCAGTTCAGTTCTAGTTCAGTTCTAATTCAGTTCAAGTTCAGTTCTAGTTCAGTTCTAGTTCAGTTCTAGTTCAGTTCTAGTTCAGTTCTAGTTCAGTTCTAGTTCAGTTCTAGTTCAGTTCTAGTTCAGTTCTAGTTCAGTTCTAGTTCTGTTCTAGTTCAGTTCTAGTTCAGTTCTAGTTCAGTTCTAGTTCAGTTCTAGTTCAGTTCTAGTTCAGTTCTAGTGTCTAGTTCAGTTCTAGTTCAGTTCTAGTTCAGTTCTAGTTCTAGTTCAGTTCTAGTTTAGTTCTAGTTCAGTTCTAGTTTAGTTCTAGTTCAGTTCTAGTTCAGTTCTAGTTCAGTTCTAGTTCAGTTCTAGTTCAGTTCTAGTTCAGTTCTAGTTCTGTTCTAGTTCTGTTCTAGTTCAGTTCTAGTTCAGTTCTAGTTCAGTTCTAGTTCAGTTCTAGTTCAGTTCTAGTTCAGTTCTAGTTCAGTTCTAGTTCAGTTCTAGTTCAGTTCTAGTTCAGTTCTAGTTCTGTTCTAGTTCAGTTCTAGTTCAGTTCTAGTTCAGTTCTAGTTCAGTTCTAGTTCAGTTCTAGTTCAGTTCTAGTTCAGTTCTAGTTCAGTTCTAGTTCAGTTCTAGTTCAGTTCTAGTTCAGTTCTAGTTCAGTTCTAGTTCAGTTCTAGTTCAGTTCTAGTTCAGTTCTAGTTCAGTTCTAGTTCAGTTCTAGTTCAGTTCTAGTTCAGTTCAGTTCTAGTTCAGTTAGTTAGTTCTTGTTCAATTTTATATGCTACGGAATCTATAGTAATGAATTTTCCATTCTGCATGTATGACCTACTAGAAATAAAAAAACAATCAATAATTTTTTCTTTAGAAAATAATTTATATTTAAATTTTCTTACAAGAGAGTAAGAGTGATTTTCACAAAACACAAATAATTTACAAACCTTTTAAGTTAGTTACTTTTTTTAATCATTTAAGTATTTATGAATAATAATAAGACGCAGCCATAGAAACAAATTTAAAAGTAAAGAAAAACTAACTCAAAAATATACTTAATTTGAGATAAATATAAAAATATAAATTATTTACTAGTAAAACATAAAAAAACACACAAAAAATGAAAAATGTTTTTAAATATAAATATTAGAGAAAATTTCCAATTAAATGACATGAAAAATAAATGAAAATGTTAAAACACAAATGATAAATGAACTTGTAATTATAATTAATGAAAAAAAAAAAAACACCCATAAATGAAAAACATATTTTATAAAACTATGTTAACAAATAGACTGCTTTTGAGGGGGATATATTTTAAAAAATGTATAGACGGTTACTTAGCAGTCTTATAAATGCTCGCAAGATTGAGGCTTTTCTTTACATTTTAAGTAATTAGGTTTTACTATGCAATGATTTTGTTTTCATTACAAGTGGTGTTTGTTGCTTTCATTTAGTTAAGTTAATATAAATAAAATTTAAATTAAGTTTAACACATGTAAAATTATGTAAAATTTTAATTTATAAGTAGTTTGAATTAAAATTCATGTAAAAAACATACAACTTAAATAAACAAAACGTTTAAACGGTAGATAAGAGTTAATAAGGATTTTTAAAGTTTGAGGCACACTATAGAGTAGTAGTTAATCATTAAAGAATTTCTTTTTGGCGGTAGCAGTATCAAAATTTATGGTAGATAATCTAAAATAAATAAATAAATGTTTTATAATATAAACTATAAAATGAAAAAAATTAACTCACCTGGCCATTTTGGGTGTTAAAAATGTTGAGGCATTGATGTTTGAATGTGTTGTTAGGAATGTTTCTTCGGCACTAATTTCTTTTGTTGTTGTTGTTGTTTTATTATTCTTGATTTTTTGCGGTGATTTAAATTGATTTTCCGCATCAGACGTTTCGCTGGTCACATCATTCTCTTCCTCTTTAATGACAATATCTTCATTCTCATCATCGTCCGATTTTTGATTGGTCGTTGGTGTTGCACGATTTTTACATTTATCTGTACAGCTACAGCTTACCGTACATTTCTGATTGATCGAATTACATCCGCAACGTTTCTTTCCGCAGTCACCACGGCATTTGCAGCCCTTGGACTTCCGCTGGTGCTTACCCTTGCCAGATGTGTTTGCAATTTGTCTAAATGCTCCTGTATCAGTGGTGTCAAAGGAGATCTGTTGTCTGAGGCCGTTGTCCTCATCCATACTATGGGAGATGTAGGACTGGGTGAGGGAGTTTTGTGAGGTTTGGGAGGTTCGACGACGCATGTTCTAAAATCAAGACGTATCTTTTTTTTGTTTACCCCATTATTCGAAAATGGTAAAGTGTTGCATATTGTTTGTTGTTTTTTTCTTTTTTGTTTTCTACTTACATTTGGACGTTTCCGAACCATGGGTGTTTTAATCCAATCGGGATCATCTTCGGATTCATCAAAATCTTCTTCTTCGCTTTCGGTAAAGTCTTCTTCCTCTTCTATTTCTTCTTCGTCCATGGGTTCGGGTTTAATGGCGGGGGAAATTTTCTATCGGGTAGAAGAGGAAAAAGATGTGATTTTTTAGAAATTATGAGATTTATGTGGAAACATTGTGGGATTTAAAGGAAATAAAGCTTGTCATGAAATGGTATTTTTGGTAAAATTGGTGAAAAATAAAAATTTTTATTCGAAAAATAAACAATTTTGAAGAAAATTTTGTAAAATTTTAAAATACACAAACATTTTGTTAAAATTTCGAAATCCACCTAAATTTTGAAATATGAAAATTAAAAAAAAAACTTTTGGTAAAATTTGAAAATCACTAAATTTTGATAATTCACTAAATTTTGGTAAAATTTTAAAATTCACAAAATTTTGGTGAAATTTGAAAATTCACTAAATTTTGGTGAAATTTAAAAATTCTCTAAATTTTGGTGATATTTGAAAAATAACACCATTTTGGTAAAATTTAAAAATTCACTAAAATTTTGAGGAAATTTAAAAAATTCCTGAAAAAATTTGGTTGAAATTTAAAAAATTCACAAAAAAATTGTAAAATTTAAAACCCACAAAAAATTTTTGAGTGACATTTTAAATTCTCAGAAAATTTTGGTTAATTTGAAAATTCACAAAAATTTTGGTGAAATTTGAAAATTCACAAAAATTTTAGAGAAATTTGAAAAATCTCTAAAAAAAATTTTGATAATTCACTAAATTTTGGTAAAATTTTAAAATTCACAAAATTTTGGTGAAATTTGAAAATTCACAAAATTTTGGTGAAATTTTAAAATTCTCTAAATTTTGGTGATATTTGAAAAATAACACCATTTTGGTAAAATTTAAAAATTCACTAAAATTTTGAGGAAATTTAAAAAATTCCTGAAAAAATTTGGTTGAAATTTAAAAAATTCACAAAAAAATTGTAAAATTTAAAACCCACAAAAAAATTTTGGGTGACATTTTAAATTCTCAGAAAATTTTGGTTAATTTGAAAATTCCCAAAAATTTGGTGAAATTTGAAAATTCACAAAAATTTTACGAGAAATTTGAAAAATTCACAAAAATTTTAGAAAAATGTGATAATATACGAACATTTTTGTGGAATTTAAAAAATTTTGGTGAAATTTGAAATTAACAAAAAACATTGGTGAAATTTTAAAATTCCCAAACATTTTGGTGAAATTTACAAATTCACATAAATTTTGAATTAGATGACATTTAAAAATTCATCAAAATTTTGGTGAAATTTGAAAATTCACAAAAATGTTGGTGATATTTTAAAATTCATAAAAAAAATTGGTGAAATTAGAAAATTAATAAAAAATTGTTCAAATTTTTCTTTTTTCTTTCTTAAAATTTTGGTGAAAAATAATTGGCGAAAAAATGTTTCCGTCAAAATTTGACGTTTATCCTCCGCCTCATAAAATGTAAAAGGTTTGCAATAAACTTCAGCTTAATATTTGAAATCAATTAAAATTTCTTTATCTATTTTCCCGTAACAAATCGTTCAAAACAAATGTTTTGGATTTGGTAAAACCTGCTAGGGATTATCATGTTATAATCCATCAGGTATAAATACAGTTAAACAATAAATGTGAATGTATATGTACATATATGAAAAAATTAAACGAAACGAAAATTTCCAAAAAAAAAAAAAAAAAGATGTGAAAGCAAAAGAAAACAACAAAAGGAAAACAGACTCTTTAATTTATACTCACATCTATTCATCGTATTATATCAGAAAACTTGGTTAAAGCCGATAAAAGCTAAATACCAATAACAAATATTTATTTGCAAAAGAGATAAAACAAGAACAAATATTAAAACATAAACAATTTCCACTACAGTTAAAAAGATTTTAGTTAGAATAGTAAGGAAATCCTTCATATTCTTGAAATTACAATTAAAATCTAAAAACCAGGGAGTAATTTCGACCTCCATCGAAATGACCCTTCCTCTCAATTTTATAAATAACATTATCACTATACTAACCTTGGTCGTAGTCTTTCCCTTCTTCTTATTATTGTTTGTTGCATTCTCACGCAATTGTTTGTAATTCTCCAATTCAATCATAAGCGATTCAATCTTTTTCTCTTGCTCCTCTTGTAACTTCAAACGTTGTTCCTGTTCGGGCGTCAGGGCCACCGATATCTTTTCTTCATATTCCGCTATGGCCTGTTCATGTTCAAGTTTCATTTGTTGCAATGTTTTGGCTGCCTCATTTGATTTCTCTTCGGCCGTAGAGATCTGTGATCGCAACTCATCACAGAGTTGTGAATGTTCACGTCTCATGTCGACCAAAGATTTCAACAGATACTTGAACACAGCCCGAGCCTCGGCTAAGCTATGGACATTATCGCCGAGTGATTTGATAAGGGTGTCGATATCGTTAGCGCATACCTTCTGCTGGAGGTCGGAAATTTGGGCGTTTCGCATTTCGAGTTCTTCCTCCAAGTTGGCAATTTCCAAACCGGCTGGGGATTGGGGCTCGGGGGGAGGTTGTTGCTGTTTTAATTCTCCAAGTCGACTGCTAATTATGCCACGGTCATCCATTAATTGTTCAAGTGTACGTTCAGCATCAATAAGGGATATAATTACCTCTAGTTCGCGTTCAACACAGGCAATAACCTGATCAATTTTCACTGAGGCAGCCGTAGCATCTTTTGAGGATTGCATCTTTTGCCGTTGCGTTTGGGCCACCTTTTGCCTTTCGAGAGCATCTTTCAGTCTAGTAGAGTAAAAACAGATTTCAAAGGATCAAGGGTTGGGGAAGTGGGAGGGATAAAGGAGTGGTTAGTAAGAGAGGGAGAGACAAACACATCAATCAGTCAAGAGTCACACAACAACACACTGCAAAGGTAACAAAAATTGTGGAAAATAATATAACCAAAAACTTACCTCTTATTAATGGCCATGGCTTCTTCACATTTGCGTTTTAACACATTACGCTGTTTATTGTGTAGGGCCTCTTTGCGTGCCATTTCATTTTGCATTTTACGATCTTTATTTTTCAATTGCATCAATTCCTTTTCACGCATCATTTTAAATTGTCTGAAATTTTCAGCCTCCGAACGCATAGCTCGCACCAGTTTTACCTTGGATTCTTTCATGGCTTGTATTTCACTGCTTAGGTTTTTAATTTTTTGCGTTTCCTTTTCACGTATTTTTAACAATTTAGCTTGTTGAGTATTTTTACGTTTCATTTCGGTTATTTCTTGCTCTAAGGTCTGCAAACGTTTACGTCTTTCTTCGGCCAATTTAGCTGAGGCATTCTCTTTAACATGACGTAATTTGTCAAGCAATTCAGACTTTTCCGCCTCCAGTTCTTGTATCTTTTGCTCACATTCTTTAAATTTCTCTTCAATGTCATCATCTAGAGTAGAGAATTTACTAAAATTGCCTGTTATACGTTGTTGTAGCTGTTCTTTGAGATTTAGCTCCCGATTAATGCGACGCAATTGTTCATTGATTTCCATTTGTTTGCTGGTAAAAGCTTCGGTGCGTTCTTGCATAATAGCTTGCATTTCGGAGACATTTACATTATTGTCGTCATCTTCACAGTGATCGGTAGTGCTGGCCGAGGAACGACGTTTATGATCCATTATTTCTGTTTCTGCTCTACACAATTCTTCATCTAGTCCCTCTACCAATTTGCTAATGTGCATGACTGTTTCCTCCAGCTTTTCTTCATACAAAGGTGTTTCTTTGATTTTAGATAATTCTGTTACGAAACTTTTCATTTCTCCTGCCTTTTGTTTAAGATTCTCATGTGCTGCTTCCGCTATATGAGCTCTCATTTCATGCTCTGTCACATCGTGCAAAGTCATTTGCCATTGTTTTTGTAAAGTCCGATATTTTTCTTGTAATTCTTTATATTTACGATTTTGCTCCTCCGAGGGCATAATTGTGGGCATTGAGGTAGTCATTAGGGGAGCTACAGGTCCTACAGTTTCCAAATCTTGTGTTAAGGAGGAAGTCATGGCACCACCTTTTGTTAGCAATTCTACCCGTAATTTCTGTATGATACCTTTAAGACGATTGATTTCGGCAGCATGAGGATCTTGATTAACAATGGGTTTATTTTTAATTTTACGTGCTCTATCGGCATAGCGTAAAGTACTCAGTGTTTCGGCAACATTGTAATCGGCCGGTGAGACACATGCTATCATAAGGGTAACGGAATTGCCACCCAACGAATCCTGCAGCAGTCTAGTTAGTTTTGAGTCACGATAACGTACAAAACCGGCACCTTTGCCATCTGGAAATGATATTCAAAAGGTATAGTAAATTTCTTGTCTAACAATGTTTTAAAATACATTTTTCTTCGTTGGAATCCCGGGTTCTTTAAAATTTTGGCAAATTTTAAAATTTTTTAAAATACTAACCTCCTAAGGCTGATATTACATTGCCTAAAGCCAAAAGACCTTGATTGATTTTAACACCTTCCTTGAAACGGTCACCAGTGGCACCAGTCTTTTTCGAACGTTCCGAACCGGCCAAATCCACCAAATGAAATTTAGAAGTAGTAACTGCTCGACTGCAAAGTAAAATAAACAAAAAACATTAAGAAAATATAGTCAAGACGTTGTACATGACTGCAGTTCCAAGAATAAAGTCCTAGGTCTTATATGTTCCAATAATCTCAATATTCTTACAATTAAGAATTTTAACCAACCGCACATACATACATCTTACCTATAGTGGTGGTGTAGAATAAAATAAACAAAACACTTAACCTCAATGTCTACTGTCGGGTAAAACTACAAAGGATGCTGTATGTATGACAAACAAAAACAACTTTACCTCTCATCCTTTTTGGTGGCCTGCAATGTAACCGTGAAAATTGCATGAGATCTGGAAGATTGTTGATTCATAGCAGTTGAAGCCACTGCCCGACCCGTTGAACCCTTCACCAAACAATCGGTAGTTTCTTTGGCGTTAAACACTTCCTTCTCCGTTAAGCCCACCATTAAAATACCATTACGATCTTCACGCATATCGATGACACTTTCCTCGCGTGACTTCTCCGACAGCAAATCGTATAGCTGTTCCTGATACAACTCCATAAATGAACACTTTATAACAAACTCAAACTCATCGGAAAGTTTTTTAATTCTTTCGAAAATATCATGCATGGCGCGTGGTATTACACCAACATTCTCATCTAATGCACCATCAAAAGCCGTACCCATAGTGTGAGTCTTGCCAGAGCCAGTCTGGCCATAGGCCAAGATAGTGGCATTGAAACCGGAGAATAACTTATCCAACATATCAGACACTGACAAATTATACACCTGCTCTTGGGTGTCACGCCAATCGAATACGAAATTAAAGGAGAAGGCATCAGTATTGTTGACCAACACCTGATTAGCTCCGTCCATTTTCTCCACAGCCACCTGACAGCCGCGAGCCTGTTCGGAAGGCACCAAAGGGCGTACTCTTAGAGCCACCCTTACACTTTCCAAATCACCCATTGTTGTCTTGTATATTTATAGTTTTGGCACTGAAAATAATTGATTTCATATTCAAACAAATCAATAGTTTTTCAAATTTACACTTTCACTTACATTTTTATCTCTAATACCTTTATATTCGTTTAGTCGTTTGTCTGGTGATTTTTCTTTTTTTCTTCTTCTGTGGCTGCTGCTGTTTTTGTGTGTGCGTTGGGAAAAAAAATGAAGACGATTCGTTTGGTGACAATCAAAAGTTACAAATGACAATAAATTCTCAACAGTCACAAACTTTTATACAAACATTCGGCAAAAAAAGCAGGTAAATTAAAAACACATTAATAAACGATAATTTGCCAAAACGCGGATTTTCCTTAATAATTTTCCTTGAATTAACAAGCAAGCAAAGGAATTTTCCTACGTTCTTTTCTTTTGTTGCTATTTTATCTATTCAACACGGTTTTCCTTTTTTTGTTGAGGTGCTTGCACCAACTTTTATTAAACCGTTTAAATTCAAATGAAAAATGGTGGTTGTTTGCGCCAGAGAAACAAGCCGATCACTTTTTTTTCGGCGGCGTCTGAATGGAAAAAATTTGTCGGCGGCGATGGCTTTTTGGCTTTACGCCGTTTTTTATCGACAATGTCGGCTAAGCCGTGTTTCTTTTATTTATTATTACATTATTATAATAATGTAATAATATATTATTATTACAAACTCCTCTTATTCGTTTTTTATAAGGCCCGAAAAGTATATTATACAAATTACAAACGCCAAAATAACAAACAAACGAAAAACAACACTGTGTTTTTAGTAACACTACTCGCCGCTAGAGATCCATTTAAATATAAATTTGACATAATGACGCGCCATTTTTTGTCATTGCTTGACAATACACAATTTATTCCCGACTCGCATTCAGGTAGTTCTCCTACAAATTTTCCAAAATTACCAAATAATAAGCTATAATTTCCTGAAATTAACAACAGGAATAGTGAATTAAGATAATACGCTGAAATAAGATTAAAAAGTTTTAAAGTGAAATACAAAATTTCCTTGTAAAAATCAACAAAGAAAATTTTGATTTATGAAAATACTTTTTTTGTGAAAATTGTAGACGTGTGTGTGTGAGAGCGTGGCTGAACTTAATATAAAGAGAATATTAGAAAAAGGTAAAGAGAAACAGTAAACAATGGATTTTCAAATTTAACGTTTTTTTTTTTTAATTATAAATTAAATTATTAAATAAAAATTATTATAAAATATTTGTTGGGCTTCTTAACTTTTTTTCAACTGGTAATAAATTTATTTAAATTTAAACCATTTCATTTGTGTTTTAAAAAAATAAGGGTGTTTTTTGTAATGTTGACATTTTGTTTTTATTTCTTCTCTTAAATTTTGACATCACGTCTCATTGACAGACGTTTATTTCTTATTGTGTTTTTGCTTGTGAATGAAGTGTTGGCAGCTGCATTACATATTTTTTTATAGAAAACTATAAATAAAAACGAAATAAATACATTTATAAAGCCCTTAATATTGCAAATATTTCTTTAAATAATCATTATAACTACCCATTTATTTATTTAAATATAAATTTAAGTGCTTTTTAACCAATTCTCCCTCAACTTAACCACAGCCGGAATTTTCTTATGAAATTTTATCAACATGGAAGGTTAGTTTTTTTTCATTTATTTGGTTAAAAAAAGGAAATTTATTTTCTATTTTTTTTAATTTTAGCTAAACAACAAACTCCTGCTGAAGTTCGTGAGGTGTTGAATAAATATTTGGAGTTGTTTCAACAGAATAGCATTGAATTTAAATATTTTCTGGCTCCAAATAGTGTAATCGATTGGTATGGCCGCACCATACGTGGAGCTAACAAAATTCATGATTATTTAAGGTAGGTCATGTTGAAGGCATCTTTATTTTTAATAATTTTTATAATCGAGAAGTTGTTATAACGGCTATTTGAGTGTTTATTTAGTTAATTAAGGAAGGAACCGTGTTTTTTATGTTCCGGCAAGAGTGTTTCATTTTGTGATGAAATTATATAAAAAGTTTTGTAAATAAAGGGTTAATTTGCAGTAAAGATGCAGAACTAGGGTGTGAAAATAGTTTTGTATAATAGAGCCACAAATTGCAGTTCTTTGAAAGAAATATTATAGGCATTGTATATTATTATCGATAGATGAAAAACTGTTCATTCTTGAATACAAATTTTAGGAGTTTATTCTTAGAAGGACAAAACTATTTAAGTGTTTTATGGTCTATAAAATAGCTATAGTTTTAGTTGTGTTTTACATGAATTTGAAGCTGAGGCTGATTGTTAGCAGTAATTCATGTTTTCATTCCGCATTGCCGAACATAGCAATCTAACTTATTTAATATCGGCTATTTCCAACTTATTCCGATCTTATATGGACTTTTTGATATTTATTTAGAAAATATATTAGACTTTTCTTACAAGAAAGTACTTTTCATACAAAATGCTGTCACCGATATCTTGGACATGTAGTTGCCGACCCTTGATTGTGTAGATATTGTTCGATAATATCTTTCGGAAAACATGTAATTTTTTAAGTAAAATTTTATATAGTCTCCAATAGCATACATTGATTTAGGTTAAATTTTAAACAAAAGGGGTGCTAGATAACCTTTCCAGCATTACTTAATCTAATCTAAAATTTAAGCTGAACTATTTCTTCATCATATGTTTCTTATCTGAAGTTGCAGCTGGCAACATGTAATGTATAATATTCAAGATTTTAGAGGATCACAAATGAATCTTGCAGGAATTACAATTAAAAGGTAAAATTTTTGATAAGGATAAGGGTACATTATGATAAAAAATATTTATTATTTCTTTAATGACTTTCCACTCCTACTTAAATTTTGATATATGTAGAAAGACAATTTTGTATAGCCACCTTTGTAAATATAACAGATTTACAAAATAGGGGTTGATGTGAAATCTTTTCAGTAGAAATGGGTACCTAAGTGTTCAATACCTAACAAGTTTTGTGCAATTAACTTTTAAGGGAAATATACTAAACTATTTAACAACAACTTATAATTAAAATAAATAATAAACAATATTTTACAACTGTTATTCGTGCAGACATGAAATACACAATAATTTTGATCACACCGAATTTTTGGAACCTCATAAATGTGCTCCCATCGAAACCAAAACCAGTCACATGCGCACGTAAGTTTTCTAAAACAAAAAAAAAACTTTATAAATAATAAAAAATAACAATAAACTTTAAATTAATAAATGCTGTTTAGCAAAATCATATCTACGAAGCCCATTGATCTTGTACATCCTATAAATCGTGTACCAGATATGGTACCTTTAAAATCCTATGCCGATAGTGATGTAGAAGATAATGAGCTGCCTGAAACCTCGGAATTTGCTGCTGCCATTATTAGTAATCAAAAGAAAACTCCAGAAAAATGTACTAGTACATTAATCGAAGACTTAACGCCACCAGCTAGCGCAACAAAAGAAGAAAAACCTCACGAGGAGGAGGAGGAGGAGGTAGTACAGGTACAAGCAACAGTCGAAGAGTTAAATAAACCAGTGAGATCCTTAAAACGTACGCATTCAGGACGTTTTAGTTATTTAAAACGTTTACCCACTGCTCCCTCTACCAGTAAACGGGTGAGTAAGGATTATAAAGGTATACGTACCTTGCTAGATGATTCATCCAGTGAAGACGATGATTTAGAAACAATGGAGGCTTTATATACCCCTTTAAGGTATATAGAGGTCAAGGGTATAATGCGTAATCGTAGCGCAACAACATCACGTCAACGTAGTGCCCTCTGGCGTGATTGTAATCAATTGGAAACACACCTGCGTATATCTTATCGTCGCAAATTGGAAGATAATCAATTACAATTTGCTCTAATCATTTATGAATCATGTAATCCTACACCTACGATTACCAAACGTAATCTTATGACACAATTCTCAATGACTGAACCCAATGAAGATAATCATGATGTAGTTACACAAATAGAACCCGAATACTCTGAAGAAATGGTGGTAGAAAGTGTTTTACACGAACCAGTACTTATAGAACCACATACCGTTACCACTACCGGTACTTTATTGGGCACCACAGATGATCCTTTTAATGAGGATGAAGAGGGCTCTTTGGAAACGTTATCAGTGTCTCATATGCGTACACCTACGAAATTTACACACACCCCGCCGGCTACACCTAAACGAAAACCACGATCTTTGTTTCAATCCGCCTCGGGTTTGAAACGTTTAAATAATTCACCCACTGCACCTACGCCTAAGCGTAGTGCAGCTCGTAGTTTAAGACTTTGATTTTAAAGATTTTTTTTTTAATATTATTATTTTTAATATTATTATTTTTTTATAGCTCCCTTTTTAATAAGTTTTTTTTCTTCTCCCTGCTTGTTTTATATTTTTCTGGGTTTATTTTAGAAATGAACACTTTTATTTTGGTGTGAAAAGGAGAAGTCACTAGTTTTTTATTTTATAAGTTTTAATAATATTGTGTTGATTTTGAAGGATTGGAATAGGCATCGGCAGAGAGTGACTAATTTGTTTTTTTAATGCATGGATTTCTTCATAGAAAAGAGATTTTTAATAAAGTTTTTATATACTTTTGTTTTAGCAAATATACAAATTACTTATTGGGAACAAAAGAAAATTGACAAATTTAGCGTAAAAATTTCTATGAAAATCTTTTCCAAACTTATGAAAACGAAATGATTTCCTTACAAATTTTCCATAAAAATTTTTCTAAATTTTTTCTCTTTACAAAAGTTTATATTTTTCCAAGGAAAGATAGAATTTTTGTTTACAAATAAAAGGAGATTTAACAAGAAACTTTCTTAAATATTTTTGTATTTTTTTTAAAGAAATATTTGACAAAGTTTTTAAGTTATTATTACTTATTAGGTCTCAGCTTTTAAAAATCTTAAAGAATGAAAGTCAATTTTTAAAAATTGAAAAAGTATCAAACGTTACTCCCCTGCCAATTAGTTTATTTTACATGTCTGCAAGTTCTTTTAAAATTCTTCTTTAGAAAAAGATTAAAAAAACTTTCTCAAGTATTTTTATATTTTTTTATAAGAAATATTTGATAAAGTTTTTAAGTTTTCCTAAATTTTAACTAAAACTTTCTTAAATATGTTTCTAAATTTATTTCTTGGAAAATTATTTGACAAAGTTTTTAAATAGAAATATACAGTTCTTTAATCTTTGATTTTTTGTTCGAAATTCTTACTCTCTGAAGCAGTTTTAGGCTGAAAAGAGGTTTTAAGAATCTAAAAAAGAACTATTTTAGAAAACACTCTTATAAACTTGAGGGTTACCTTTCCTAGTTGGATATTGTTTGGAATTTTCACCTTCGAAACGGGTTCTATGAAAACGTTAAAGAGTCGACTTTTGCTCTATAGAACTGTTCTGAATCTAGTTTTTTAATTAATAACTTTTTAACATTGAAATTGTCACCTTGAGAGTAGTTCTTGAACTAGTTCTACTTTCAGAAATTTTTATCTTTGAAATTGTTAAACTACTCGGCAACTAATGTATAACTCCTGTTTAAAATTTATCTCCGTATTCATAAACATATTAAACTTTAAGCATTTTTTCCATACGAAATTCCTGAAATAAATCATTAATAACTTTATTAAGCGTTTATGAATACGGGGTTAATGTATAGAAAACTCTTTAGAAGTTCATTAGTATTACAAGAGGGTTCCAAAGTAGGGGTGCTAGAAGTAATGCCAACATTACAACTAAATCTAAGATTGTAATGCCAGAATCTGAAAAGTTCTGGAAACAAATTCTATATTTTTCAAATTTTATAAATCAACTTCAGCATGTTTCTATTCTTAATCTTAAATTTTAATTTGATCTCTTTGTAAAAAAAAAAGAAAACTTGTGATTTTTTTCTATTCAAATTTCTCCTAAACAAACCTGATTAAAAACTAAATGCCCTAAATAAACCTAAAAAATATAAATTCAGGATTTTTAATTCCTTAAAACTTATAACAAAAACAAAAGCATGCTTAGTAATTTATCAAAATATCATATAACTTTAAGTTGTTTTTTCTTAACATCAACTTATTTATATAGTTTTTATAAAATTTACCTTTTACCCGAGAGTTTTGCAGTTTAAAATAAAATCCATAAACACTCCATATGGAGTAAACATATGTTTACTTTTCCTTAAATATTTTTTTTTATTGATTTTTTAAATAATATATATTTTTTTTTAATTATTATACTTTCTCTTTATATTTATGCCTAAAACTTACAAGTAAAACATAAAATAAAATTATATTTTTTTCCTTAACAGTAAAGTTTATTATTTTTATGAAAGATATGCATTTATTTTTATCTTAACAAAATTATATAATTTTTCTTATACATAAAAAAACTATTGTTATTTTATATTAATGCTGCTACAATAATATTTTGCATATATTTTTTGTTTGTTTAAGTATTGAAGTGAAAAAAAAAACACAATTATTTTTTAGTAAAAATATTTCCTTTTTTTAATAATAAATAAAGTGTTTACTTTTTTTTAAATAATAATATAAAACATAAGTGGTATTTTTTTAACATTAAAATTATAAAGGATAATATAATAAATTAGACCAAATGGCTAAAACACAATTTTAACATACATTTAATAATAATTTTTAATTGATTTGATAAACATTTTTTGTTACAATTAAGCTGTTCGTTCTATGATTAATTTATAGATAGAATATTTAAAAGATTAATAAAAGTACATTAGGGTAGTAATATATTTTAGACATTTGCTTATTTATGGGCCTAAAGTTTGTGTTTATTTTCTTTAGTTTAATTTTGATATTTACAATAGTTTAAACTGGTATTTTTTTAACTAAAATAGGCTGCCATGTTAGTTTTTTTTTTTTAGAAAAAAAGTTTTCTGATTATGTTTTTAAAAGCTTAAACAAACGAACAGTTAGAACTTTTAGTGCTGAAGATATTTAAAGTAAATATTAAAATGCCAAAACGCCCAAAAGAAGTACAAATTTTTATTCAAAAATTAGGATTTTAATAAATATATTTCTACAAGTTTCGAACAAAATCCGCCATAAACTTATAGCTCGATTCACGATCTGGTTGGTTAACGTGGTAGTTTACTACGCTTAAACTACCAAGAAAAGTCTTCCACTGAAATGTTCCTGTATGTCTGGAAGGAACTATATATAGGCTACTTTTTACTTAAAAATTTCAAGTGGGCGACGTGCCACGCCCTCATACAAAAGAAGTATTAAAAATCGCATATCTAGAGCTAAATTTTCTAATTTTGTATGGACAACTTTGACATCCATATGAATACATGGGGATAAAATGGGCAGATACAATAGGCGTAGCAACTCCTATATAAAGAAAATTCCCATCAACAGAGGTCGTGACCTCTTCCATATGAATTTAATAATAAAATTCGTTTATCAGGGAAACTATTAAGAGTTAGAATCTATTTTAACATCCAAGTAAATATTTAGGTGAAAAATGGGCTGACTTTTATTAGGGAGGTTTCCCACGTATATCTAGGAAACTACTAGAGCTAGAATCCTAGAATTTTTCACCAAGAACTCTGACATATTAGTGGACATTTGGGTGATAAATTAGCGGTCTTTCAGCTCCCATATGAATTAAATATAAAAATTCGTATATCTGGGAAACTGTTTCAGCTAGAATCTTCAAAAATCGTAAAGTGGGCTTTTTATTATACTGATTTTAGGGTAGCAAAACACAATGGGTATACATAAAGTAGCCAGCAATAGATCAAGAAAGTTGTACGACAGAGCCTTAAGAAGATTTTAAATTTATCGTAAATTTCCCTTTTGACATGATGGCATTCGATATCGAATAAGAAATCTAATACAAATTTGCAAAATTTTAATATCGAAATGTATTTTCGCTACGAAATCTTATTCGATCAGTTATGCTTCAATTTAGAACCAGCTCTTTGGCAAGAGTTTTACACTGATACTATAATTGTTCCATCAGGCATCAGTTAAAACTTTAAGGCCCGTTAGCTCCAGCTCCGGTTATCGTTTATTTGTTGGTTAAAATAATTTTAATTTTGTTGGTTAAAATAATTTTACCCTACACAACTTTAGTGGGGAGGGTATAATGGATTTGTGCTGATGTTTGTAACGGATAGAATTAATGGTCCCATATATCCACCTTTAAGTATACCAATCGGCTCAGAATCATTTTCTGAATCGATTAAGACATGTCCGTCCGTCCTTGTAATCAAACTACAGGTTGTAATTTTTAAGATATTTGAATGAAATTTGGTACACGCATTACTTTTAACCCAGACGAACCCTTGTGATTTTGGTTGATATCGGTCCATTATTTCACCTAGCCCCCAAATGATTTAATCTTAGCCCCTTGCAAGACCCTCTCTGAAAATGCTTGAACGTCGTTAATTCCTTTAATGAAATTCGTCATGATTAACTTTAATGGCAACAAAAATCCCTCCAACAAATTTTGTTAGGATCGGTTCATATTTGACCTTAGCCCCCAAAGTTTCGTATATCCTTTATGAAAATCCTTTTAACACAAAAAAGTGGCGACTAAATGATTAAAATTTTTCGCGATTTGTTCAAAAATTGGTTAAAAAATTTCAATAGTTTCGAACACAATTTCGCTTAAAGAAGAACTATATAGTAAATATTCTTAATAACCTTCTTGGAAATAGTTCCGAGAATGGCAAATTCGAACGAGTATCGACTTTATAAAGCTACCCTAAAACAATTTCGAAAAAATTTTTGGTCTTTACTCCAAAATAGACTACTGTTTTCAAGGTTGTGTATATGTTCTCTATAACTTTCTGGAGCTAGTCCAAGATTAGAATTTTCATAGATTTCTAACACATTGATTGATTGCTAAGGCGTTTTGACATATGAAAATATTTTAATGGAAAAACAAAATGACAAAAAAGTCTAAACTAAACTTAACATTAATATTAAAATTTTAATAAAATTACTAAAAAAAAACATAAAAAATATTTAATTTTTAAATTATACAGACATACAAAGGCATAAATAATAGATTTTTTTTTAAATAAAATAGTTAAATTGGAAACAAACAAAGAAACATTAAAGAAATTTTTAAAAAAAACTTTAAAGAAACTTTATCAATATTAGATATGATAGATTTACAGTCTTTATGCATACCTTGATAAATGACTAAATTACAATTCTTTTTAAACAATTAAAATTAAAATGTGCGGTTTCTGATTAAACTGTTTTTTTTTTTTTTTTTTTTGAACATTAAATACTGATAATTAATAAATTCTAAAATAAATGTATTAAACTAAAATATGATTTTCTTTTTAAAGAAATTATACCTCATAAATTGTGCTATTATCGGGATCTACTTCTATGGGTTTGACAAAAAAGCGTCGACGATTATTAACAATCGGAGGAACCACAATATCTCCACTATCAATATCCCCATTACCATTTAACTGTAAAAGATATTAAAACAAGATATTAGTCACAAATAGTTAAAAATAAGTTTTTGAATTTTTTAGAAATTTATAAGTATAAAAATTTTATTAAAAATTTGTTAATTTTTTTAGAAAAACCCATGCAAATCCAAAAACAAATGATTCATATCACATTAAATTACAATAATTTTTTTATACAAATATTATTTTTTTAATAAAAAAAGTGTGTGTTTTACTTACTTATGAAAATTGTTCTTAAACAAAAAACCAGAAACACTTTGAAATTTTTAAAATTGTTTTTTTGAATACTAAATTACACATTTTGAATGCAAATCACATTAAACAAATAGATTGATGATGACGATGACTTATAATTTTAAACAAAGTTTTATTTTTTTTTTTTTAATGACAAGGACAAAAACAAAAAATTATTTTAAAATAAATTTATAATTTGTAGTCTTTTAGTGTTTTTTTTCATTCAGCTCTCTCAAATAGTTTTATTAATGTTTATTTTGGTTATTATTTCTGACAGTGTAGTTGTTTAACTGTGTGTAATAGTTTAAAGTTGATTTATTATTATTAATTTTTTTAAGAGTGTAAGAGAGAGTTAATTTTGTTGACTTTCATCAACATAATCAATGGAGGACGTCTAGAAAAAAGAGAAGGAAAAACACAAAGAAACACATAACATTTAGTTTGTGGACAAACAACAAAATTAATATTTAATTTTTTTTTGTATAAATATTAAATTAAAAAGAAAAAACAATAACAATTATGTGTATAATAATTATTAAGAAAACATTTAATATTAACTTTATGTACTGTATTTTTTAACAAAAAATGTATTTACAACTTGAAATTCATTAATTTTGATCCACCCTACTATACCTTTAATTTCTTTCTCCTAAAAAATTAATCCACTACTAGTTCTATTTTGGCTTTAAAACAAAATTAAAATTTTGAAATTTCACCTTTGGATGAAGGGCTGTGGAAGCTTTATGATACTCGTTCTATGAAACTGTTTAGGCACCAATTAATTAGTCAATGATTTTTGTTGGATTTTGTCACCCTCGGAATTAGTTCTAGAGAAGTTTAAGAGAACATATACAACCATATTTAGAACAATTCTAGAACAATTCTAGAACTAGTTCTTTATCGGCGATTTTGTTAGAAAATGTTAATATTGGGAAAAATTTTGCTGTGAGGGCTACCAAGGTACTAATAGGACTTAATAGGTGCAGTCTAAGAATTCTAACAGGGATCTTAAAGGGGCTTTGCTCAATTAAGGGTCAGTAAGTGGGTCAAGATTGTCGTACGTGAACACCTGTCTTGATGGCCTTATTTCACGATGGTCTTTTTCATCCACTGGGTGGACTTGAGAACGGTCTACCACGCGCCCCCGATTGACTTCAATGACACACATAAAGGTGGCAATTTTTGTACATGGTTCTACCGGTCCATGTACAAGCTCGAAGTATCTAATCTCTTGCCAAGTGATTACTTTGCGGAATGACAAGTAGCACAATGCTACCCCGACAGGAAGAAAAGTGTAAGACGAATCCGAAAATAGGGCCTAACAAAACCCCATCAAACGCACCTGATGACTCCCTAATCTCTGCGTTGTCATGAGTGTCGCCGTACCGCGCCCATCCTGTGGTGATCCGCTCAGTCACACAACCACATCACAAGGCTCTGTTGATTCGCTCAGTCACACAACCACATCACAAGGCTCTGTTGATTCGGCAACAGTACCAAGAGACGTATTTGATAGTCCGAAATACCCAGCCAACAGCTCAGGATCTCTCTGTTTGACAAAGGATTTTTAAACGAACCCAATAATTGCGGCCTCAACCGTAAGTCGCGTAGCATGTAACAATATGCATCCTGTTGAGATGGCAACAACACCAAGAACATCCCTGAAAGGTATACTAAATCAGTACAAGTCTCCCGTCGGGCAAAGAGCGATCTACGAAATGACAGGCAACCGAATGTCAATCTGAAAATTTCCCAACCTATACCTAAGATATACTCAACGGGTTCAGGAATCCAGCATAAATAGCTCTGTCACATCACTCAATGACATCTGTTGAGATGGCAACAGCACCGGAGAGAGAATGCAGACATATATGACATTTGGATATACATATAAATCCTTAAACCAACATTCTCTCCCCGCGATTTTCAGTATTAAACCGCAGCCACTAGGTGCGTCCCGAAGGAACCAGAACCAACTGACCAGCCAGGACAAACTCCTGCGGTCAACTAGTCACCGGTAGTAGCAGATAATCTGGGGCTCTGGTTCGACCCCATGTCAAAAGATTTCAAGGAAAGGCCCGAATATACATTTGATCATCACCAGTTTAATAGTCCCGGCAGACTTAAGGTACTGGTAGCACCCCTTTTCCCCGGGAAATTGCAATAACACCAAGACGGAGATTTCACAAAAGTAACATGCGCCCGAGGGGAGTAAGTTGGTTAGTAATATGCCGGTCTAATGCAGGATAGAGGCGAATGAGCACATAATTATACATTTATTCGACTGGGTTTTATAGGGAGACTGATATTATTTCACAACTTTGTCTTAAGGAAACTTCCAGGTTGAGAACTCTTGTGAATTGAGCTGTTATCATCACTTTCTCCTTTCTTCTATCTATTTATGTT